AAAAAAGGAACTTTTAAACAAAAAGAACGAGACAAGAGCCTGGGAAATTTGAGAAAAGCATAATCTGCTTTATTTTTTTATTTTTTTTTATTTAAATAAGGAGAATTCTTTCATATGGAAAGAGCTAATACAATCACATATTTGAAAGGAGAAACAATAGGTACTGAAACGAGGAAAAAGGGCAATAAAGAGTGTGCCGCAACTGGCCTGGTGATTCCGTGAGTCGAGTCCCGGTCCAAGGAAAAGTTTCCAAAAAATATAAACAGGTTGCACGTTACACAATTATCCATCGTCTGCCCTTTCAAATATCTGGTCTACATGAAAAGACGAAGAGAGGAAAGGCCAAAAAAAAAAAAAAAATTACTATACAGGTCATGAGGTGAAAGCTTGAAGGAGTACAATATCCCCTTGAGAAACAACAAATGCAATTTATACAGAACCAGAGGAGGGATTCCAGCTACAGGACAACGCCTCGGGACATGCTAAGGGGTGAGCGCCTCACTGCTGCTGCCAGGATTCCAGGGGAACAGCCAAGGCTGGGGCTGTGGACATCTTGAGGAGCCAGGAGGAGCTGTTGAACCCAAGGGGGTGGCTGTGGCCACTAGGAAAATGGGGTGCTTTGTGGATTAAAACAGCAACAAAAAAGTGGTTGGACTGCTGCTGTCTTCTCACAGGCAGCACTGCTTCAGCAAAATGAACCTCTTCTGTCCATTGGCCACAACTAAGTATCCTGATGCCTGCTGTAAATTAATTTTTGTTCACAAATTAATCTTTCTTACAAAGAAACTGGGCTGCTGTACATTGAAAATAATCTGCGCTACATGGAATTAACCTGTGCTTAACCAGGCAGAAGCAAAATGGAAGGTTAACAGAACACAACAGAAGACGATCTTGGCATGCAGTGGTGCTCGCTTGAAACTGAATATCGTAGCCTGCCAAAAGGGGAGACTGAGCAAAAATGCTAGGCTCATTTTTTAATATATGTCTATAAATACACAGGAACCACAGGGCAGCTTGTAGGTTTGCAGCATTCTTGCAAGGAAACTGTTCAATGGAGTGCCTCTGCATGACCACAAACACGATGGAGTTCAATGGGCTGCAAACACATTCAGAGCTACTGACGACTGCACGGCTGTCACGGCGCAGAGCCAGGAGCAATTATGGAAGATCAACAGGAATACCTGTTTCACTGGTGACTGTGCTGCTTCCACTCATCATTTAAAAATACACTAGAGCGCCTTCCCCCCACCCCCCTTTTTTCCTTCCCTAACTTCAAATTTATTTATTTATAATTAAGAGCTAAAGGCAGGCTGAACTGGAAAGGAAAGCAGCACTAAATGCAGCTGCTAGGCTGTGAATCACTGCGTATATGAGAACTGATCGCACCCGTGCTTCAGACCTTCAGATGAACAAAAAGCAGCAAAGTCAGCCTCTGAATATTTCTGCTTCACCCACTGTTGCTGAAAATATGGATTTCACCCCTCCCTCCCACTGCACCTTCCCTAACAGAAGGAGCCTGCAATTCGGTAGCTGATTTCCAGTCAAAGCAAAGCAACTCACAAAGGAATTAATCACTAGGGCCTGACCCTTCAGCAGCGGAGACAGCAAGCAGAATTATCCCCCTACAAACCATATCTGTATTCCATACATCTCCATTCTCCTCTTCCCCAAGTTGAATTTGCATCAGCGTACCAGCACCCCGGGCATTTCTGCACCTTGAGGATCAGAGACTTCCCTTTTGACTCAAGAGCACCACAAACCCCACTAACCTTGTACTAGCTTTAAACAAACAAAAATATATGCCAGAGAAGAAGGATATTGCACTTGAGAAATTTAGGCTCTAAAACTGCTTTCCATCACACAGAACTCCATTAAGTGAAAGAGAGTCTTGCCAACTGCAGCTGACAGTCACGCAAAGGTGAGGAATGGAATGAAGCTCACATGCATTTCTTGGCCTTTCCTGCACAGAATAATTCAGACATAATATATAAATAGAGCAGTGAAACAATTACTTTTTCACCTAGACCTACAACATCAAATACGTATAAATAAATTCTAGTGTTTTATTCTGTTGGGGGAAGGAATGGAGGAGTTAAAAGAGAAAGAAGGTTGACCCTTTTCAACAGGAAGTGTTGTAGTTCTGATGGCATTTACACCGGAGGGACTGCAATAACTTGAATCTAGCAATAACCCAGTTTCTCCAACACGTTTGACCATTTTAGAGTCATATAGGTAGGAGGAAAGAGGTTAGTGTCTTTGTAAAGCTTAAGTAGTGTGTCTAGGGTAGGAAAGAGATGAGAAGAGGGGGGCTCAGATAAGTCTCTTTAGCCATTACAGTTAGATTCTGGGCTGATATTAGCTAGGGCCAGCTGGGCAGAAGGATAATTAAAAAAAGGAAACAAACAAGACAATTCTGTTGTTCATTATATTCTAAGGAAGAAAATAGAAAGGGGGTGGGATGAGTTACTGGTGGAGCAATCTTTGGAAAATGTTGGGAGCAGGACTAGCAGATGAGGATGCAGGTCTGGGAGATGTCTGAAGGCTGGGAAAACATTTGTCGCTAAATCTCAAACCTGTACTTTAAAAGAGGATACTGGAGAGATGCTGGCACACTCTGCTCTGAAGTTAAAAATCTGTAAAACATGAGGGGGGAAAAAAAAAAAAAGAGCTTTTATTTTTCTTAAAGTACCATCCTATCCTTTTCCCTTTGGATTCTCTGCCATGGTCAATGGGGACACCTGTGGAGAGGGGACATTATTATGTCTAAGATAGTTTAGGTTCCTAAGCTCTTTAAAGCTACTGTATAAAATTCTTATTTATACCTAGCTTAAAACTTCAAATGCATCCCTAGAAAGACTCTTTCAGAAAGGGGGGAAAAAAGCAAACGAAGAAACAAGAACACCTTTCAGATCCCTTCCCAAATACATTCTTTGTTCAAAATATCTTCTTTGGAACCACCAACAAATGACTTGCTGCCACCTAGCAGAGGCAGATGGCACAGCCAGTTAGCAAGCTATCACCTCCTGTCAAAATGAAGTTTTCTCTCCCTCACTTCAGAGTGAGCAGCCTACTTGACATTTTGAAAGAGCTAAACACAAACCAAGTTAGCTGAAAGTAGTTTAGTTTACTTAAGACTGAAGTCAGCTGAAGGACTCCAAGCACTTTCAGGAACTTGTAAGTCCATCCTAAAATCTACACACACACACACACACACACACGCACACACAAATCAAAACCAAACAACCACAGAAATAAAAACCCATCCCCTTCCCACTGGGACCTTCCTTTCGTAGATCATCAACTATTGGGTAAGAAAGTGTAAGCTAATGACACTGGATACGCACTATATGCAACCGCATCAAAAGAAAAGAACCCTTCGCTGTTCATCTGGGGAAGGAGAATAAAAGGGTGATTCCAAACTGCTTCTGTAACCACGTGCTTCCAACCCAAAAAAGGAGGTTCCAAGTGTGCTAGAACGGCTGCCTTGCAGAGGGGCTCCCTTACCAATGCCTTTCTACACAAATTTTACAAAAGGCCATGAGTTAGAGGAACAGAAATAAAGACCTAGGGAAAAGGGAGAAGAGCAAAGCTTAGGAGAGCAGCCCCAAGGGATGAACACAATACAGAACATGTCTCAGGAGACATGAAGAATTAGAGCAGCCAAGGTAGGGAGCGTAAGAGAGCATCACAACTACAAAAAGTAGTCCATACAGACCCGTTGGCTCTAGCCAACTCTTCTGACCCATGTGCGGTGAGGAGATTTTTCTTAACATATTTTACATTTTGTAAATCTATGATTTGCATTTTGGTGTGTGTTTGACAGTCACTAAAAAAATCCCAAACCCACAGAAGAACCCACCTAGATCCAGATGAGCTTGCAACAGAAATGTGATTTTTTTTTTCCTTAAAACAAAACTGACACATTTTGTTGTGCACAAGGCACCCCAAAGCTACTATTAAAGTGGTGCACTCATCTACTATATACCTTTAATACACATTTACTTCTAACGCAAGCACTGCTTCTAGCTTAAAACAAAAATACCGAAAAATTAATGAATGCTGTAACTGCCTTGTTGTTTTTTTTAACCAAATAATCTGAAAGGCTAAATCATCTGGGGAAAATATTCCAAAACAAATTCAGTTTAGAAGAGTCATGATTCTCAGCATAGCACAGAATCATCTATAAAACTAAGCAGAGTTTTGTCGGAACATAATTTTAGCTGGAGGGAATTCTTTTCTGGAAGGAATGAGGAAAGCAGAAAGAAGGGGGGAGAAATGAGAGAACATATAAAAGTTCTGCTATATACAAAGATATAGCTTTTTTGTAAAAACCTCAGCTGCCTTTAAAATGAAAAAACCTCAAACTAACCCCTCTCCCCCAGTTGCCACTCTGCTGAGACAGAAGTAGGGAAGGAGAAGGATAGGCTTTGCCAAGTGAGCAATCACAGCTACCTGCAGACGGGGCATGGGGAGGGGGAAATAAAATAAAAAAATGGCTCGAGCCACTTAAAAGTCACATGGTTGGTTTGTTTTAAAGCAAGCAGGTCAATGTCATATCCACTGTTTAAAACTGTGTTGTTGGGAGAGGGGCTTGGATGATGTCGCTGTAGTCAGTCAATGTGGGGTGGGGAGTAGGTCTGGCGAGATTTTCAGGAGATCCAGTGGGGTCCAGTCTAAGCTGCGGTGCCCCTCAGGCAGTAGGACCAGCTGGGCATCAGAGGTGCTTCTAGGCCTTGCTCTCCTCCACTTTGACTGCCTGAGGTTTGATTGCTCCTGTGCGCACTGGCTTCATCTGGTTTGTGGAGGCTGTTTCTTGCAGCTTTACTGCTCCCAGGTTGGCTTTATTTTCATCCACCCGCTGCTTTGCCTTTTGACATACAAAACCAAAGCATTAGTGAGCAGAGAGACCCCTAGGCAGATATAAAACCAAACTGGGACCATCATTCATGCAAGACATCAAATTTACTGAACAAAATCAGGTATCTGTTCTATTCTGCCACACTTTGCTGTCCTAAAGTACTTCACATGTAGGATCTCAAAAGTGTCTCACATGCCTAGCAACGCAACTAACCCATAAAAGCACAACAAAACCCAAGATGGGCACTGTGAAACAGGTAATCCTCTCATCTCTCCTGACTTTCAAATCGCACAGCATTACTGTTGGGACTCAGTACACCCACTCACGCCCTCCTCTTGCAGGGAAAATAACAGCTCCCACTCCCAGCTTCAGTACACAGGCCTTTCTGTCACCCCTTGAGTCCAAGGCACAATCAGGACAGTACAGAAAAGCAGCCACTGTTGGGTCAAAGTTTTGACGTACACTACCTGCTGTACATAGTGTCCTTGCACAGAGCCCATACTAACTGCTGGTCCAGACGGCTTCCCGCTTGGGCTGGCAGAGCTAGGCCTGGAAATCGAAGAGTCGACAATATTCATGGAGTAAATTCTACAATGGAATGAGAACCTTATTCATGTGTGAAAATAAAAAAAAGACAGCAGAAAGCAGCAGACAGGGCACGAGTCTGCTGTGCAGATCAGTAAGGTCCCCAGCCCAAAAAAAACCCACATGGATTGGTTAGGAGAAAAAAATAACCATACTGGAAACTAAAACATTTATTCAGTGATCCTAAAGTTTTCCACCTTAACAAGGAACACACAAATGCACACACCAATCCCAATTTATCTTTCAGACTCAGTAAACAAATAACTTTATGCGCTTCCCACAAGCACAAAGGGCCAAGTCAGATACATAGTGGCCCACATTCAGAAATGAAAACCGTGATAATAGATTTTGATACAAGTATTTGGTCTACAGTGAGCACATTCTACACATGAAAACCCAAGTGAATCTTGTACAGGGACGATGCGCGCACCATGTCACTGCAAACGGGGAACACCGCTGCTTTCCCATTCTGACTACAGAGGCAGAGTTCTGTAAACATTTTACCTGTACGTGTGTGGTGACGGTACTGACCCTCCGGAGGACATACTCTGTTTACCATCGGAGAAATGAAACCCTTTCATTTCCATCTGGGAGGACTACAGGAGAAAATGAGTGAGAGAGAGAGAATCATCTTTGCATTCAGAAATCACTCATTACTTCATATCAACACTTATGCCAAATCTTTGCCCTTCTACCCACTGTGCCCATTAAAAGAAGAAACATTTTTTCAGGTGAAGAAGTGAGGCTTGTAAGAGCAATTATCTGCTTGTATTAAACAAACAAGCCAGCAGCACAAGCAAACACAGAACCTGGAAGTTAACTGCTGTGCTCTCTCTCCCCTGTAATAGACAAACTTATGATACGAATCCATCAAACCAGACATGACATTAATATACCTACTCAAATGGACAAGCTTCACAACAGTGTGAAATATCTGGGCAGTATTCCAACTGTGTCTGGATCTCACCACCCCTCAAGCACTCTGGGGAAACCTGCATAAACATGCAATAAAACTGGAGACTCCAAACTGGACCAAGGCAGGATGTGGCTCCCTGGAAACAGAATGATGACCAGCAGCAAAACCTGAAAAACTGCTGGCCTGTGCTTTGGAGATGAGGGGAAAAGGGCTCCTTCAATTTAACACCAATCCTTGTCTTTGACATTTAAGGATCCCAACCAGTCTCCCCTTTAACAAGCAAGATCAAGGGGCAAAACGTCAATGCAGGAGGGGTTAATGGATGCCAAGATGAGTGTGCAGGAGTTAATCCTTACCTCTCTGCTGGTAGCAAGAACAGAAGGCTGGGATCCAGGAGGGAGGATTCTTCGGGGAGCTCCTACAGGCAGGTTTTGCCCCTGAGGGAGCTGGATGGACTGCGGTAGAATCAGGGGCTGCTGGCCAGAGCCGTAGCGGGGCAGAGGAAGCTGGGAGCCAGGCACAGGCATTGTTAGCTGTGTGATAAGGACATGGAGTTACTTAATGGGAATAAAAGTCTTGTGTTTGACACAGTCTCCTAATACCCTGAAAGCACAACACTGCCAAAAGGAAGCTCACAAACAGCACAGTCTGGCACAGAATAAATGCAAATCAATGTAACAGAGGGACTTTCACACTGAAAAGCATGTTCTGGTAGTGTTGCCAACACCCTGTCAGCTGGGCTTTTAACATGGGATCGATTTAACATAACTGCACTCAGACACAGGGCTTGCCTCCTTGATTAGAACAGTCATCAGTTCTTCAGTCTTCCTCACAGTCACTCTATGAGTGTGTTTTCTTTTGATATGATGTCAAGGTGAGATAGCTCAGTGTCAGGCATTTTGTTTGCAGCTTTGATATCCAAATCAGAAAATCTGCTACACTTTCATGCCAAAGCATTTTGTGCACCGGACCTCTAGAGAAAGTGATGGTGACCTCGGCTCTATGTTCTGCAGTGAGCTTCAAACTGGTGATGGTAATAATTAAGAGTATTTTTTAAAAAATGCAGCTCAGGACTCAAGAGCCTCCTGTTCCCTCTGATTCATATAGCAGTTCTCACAATTGCTGGATAATAAAATCTAAGGCTGGCATAAGAGACCAAGTTACTAGCTTAGGATGGATAAAGCATGTCTTCAGATACTTAGTACACCTCTCTATTTTCTTCTGCTAAGTTACTTTCAGGATTAACTCTTTACGTCAGTCACAACACAAAAATCCCTCTTTAAACAAACCAAAATAAATGTAAGGCAAGTTTAATGAAAGTATCAAGCTTCTCCAGAGAATCAGAACACATCTGACCATGAACACAGCTATGCTTACAGTAGGAGTCAATGTCTTTATCTGTACCATGCTTTACCAAAAACATTGTATGCTACCAAGACATACAGTGAAATTCTTGCTAAGGTACTGCCAAACAGATCAAAAGTAGTTGTAAACAGACCTGGACAGGTCTAACACCTGCATTACAAATGAATTGAGAAGATATATGAGCTTTTAATGAAAGGTCCTATCCTAGTTAGCTTGGACACTGATTTAAGTCTGGGGAAGACTGGAATTTGGCTCTTGGAAGAGGTTCTTTTAGGACAACTATTGCATCAAGGCCCCCTAATGCATGAAGCACTGCAAGGTTTGATCTGCATGAAACATCTGTATTGAGGGCGAGGACATCCAAGTTACAAAATGACAACTCAGCAGGGACAGACAAGCAATTGGCAAGAATCTCATTAAATAAGGTGCTATATGTTTGAAACAACGGTTCACAGAATAGTCTCTCAGGGCAATCTTTTGCCTCTTTACAGAGAGCTCAGTTCACACAAACACACGACGCAGCACACATACCAGTTTCAACCCAGTCTCAGAAACAAGTGGCTGTGAAAAACCCACTACAAGGGAGTGGCTGGCAAGCCCTGCTCCTAACCTGTGTAAGCTGAGAGTCCATCATCTGGGAAGCTCCCATACCAGCTGCCTGGTTTATCTGGCCTTCATAAACCAGCGTCTGGCTTCCATTCATGGGCTGATAGGGAGACCCAGACTGGGTTTTCACCACCTCCAAAGGCTGCATGCCTGGGAAGGCGGAATACGGAGGCTTCAGAGCAGTGCCTCCTGTCAGGACCATGGTGCTGGGTTGAGACAGACTGGGGTGCATATACACTTGAGACCTGGAGAAGAAAAATAAGTTCAAGTCATTATGCAGAAAACCTTTGCAGACTATACATACACACAAACACACTGCCAAACCATATCTGGCCTGCAATCAGCAAGCAGTTCACAGACTCTACTAAACCGACACCTTAGAAATAAGCTGTGATGCCATTTTCCATTTTAGTTACAGGGGTTTTTACTTCCACTTTCAAGCCCCTACAACCATGTCCTTGTGTTGCAGGACTATTTAACAGAATGACACTGTGTCCTATCCAAAGCTTACTTATCAATATCCTTGCACAATAAGTGCTGGATTAGCAGTAAGGGAGCATTCAGATTACCAGAAGTCTGCAGCAGTTTTGCAAAGCAGAAGAGAATCGGAAGTTAAAGATTCAAACAGCTCTAGCAAAATAAAGGTTTATTTAAACCTCAGTGGATAGGTTTTTGAGGCTTTGAAGGACTATTCTGACCATTCACTCTCATCTCATGCAGGAAAGGGGGCACAGAGCATGATTCCCCCACCCAGTCCAACTCTGAAGTGGATGTCTCACTACTTCAATTCCAGTAAGCAGCTCCTGTAGCCAAGTACTGTTGCTGTTACACCTGCATTTAATTTCCTAATTTGAATCTTACAACTTTTTCTCGAACAAAGTGCAGGAATTTATTCTTTTCTTGTCTTGTACTTTTAGAAACATCAGAGTTCAGACCACAAGGAAATTAAAAACTGGAAGCAGTTACCTGAAGGGCTGTATGGAACTGTACATCTCCTGGGACTGGGAAACAGGCAGACCACCCCTCAGCCCAAGCTGAGCTTGGGCCTGTAAGGATGTGTGCAGTGAAATAGGAATCTGTTGAGCAGCAGCAGCCTGCAGAAGAAATTAATATGACTGAGAGGCACAAGAGGAGCCAGAAGCTCTCCAAGGCTGTTAAATATCCATCAGTTTCCCCCGCGAGCCATTCTGCCATGACAATTGCCTAGACTGCGCCTTTAACAAGCCCCTGCATCGCTCCACAGAACAGCAGCACGCTGTCACTGGAAGATACTGCAAAGGCACCCAAGAGGGAATACTGATGCCTGCAAGAGGCAGGCATATGAGGGGACCAATGTGCTCCACACACAGAACAGGCACTGACAATCCCAGCTCTCACTTGTCTGCACTCTTACCTTGAAGGGGCTCTCCCCAACCCTATCAACACCCTATTTACTAAGGCTAGTGAAACTGCTCATCACCAGCCATGGAATTTACTGAAAGTCACTTTACCTCACACAGACATCTCAGCATCTGCCTCAGTCAAATCCAGTCCAAAGGCACTGGTACAAGAGAGGAAAAAACCGCTCAGTTCCCTCCCTTCAATTTCACTAACCTGTGACACCCACTGGGAAGCAGCATTCAAGGAACCTAAAGGGAGCTACATCTAAGCTCCTCTGGGCTATCAGAGAGATAAATGACTCCTCGCTTCTTAAATGCCAACCTGAAGAATCCTTTAAAAACCACTAGCTACTTGTACTTCTCCCTTACCTGTTGGTAGCTTTGCTGCTGAGGTATTGTCTGGGGGACCAGGCGGGGCTGACTTGCAAACATATGGCCATCCAGATACAGGGGTGGAATATGGTTACCTAAACATCAGAGAAGGCAGGCTGTAATTTCAGGTACAGGGGAGACACAAGCACAGTACACTGCAGATAACTGCAGGTCAAGACTATTTCCTACCTCTCAGCAACCAGCTCAGCAGGTCACCACAAACACAGTACCCATTCAGAAGAGCCTGCAAAGCTCCTGAAGTCTACATACCAAAGCCAGCAGTCCACTTACACTAGCAGGCTTGCTGAGAATTAATGACACCTTTGTGTAAGAGGCTAAACGCAAACCCAGGTTTCCCACCTCCACAAAACAAGTTAGAGACACTAACAGTTCAGGAATTGGTGATCTGCACTCCAAACTGTTCCTAAATGCCAGAAACCTGCTTTGCAATCATCTCACCTTTGCAACTAGGAGAGACAGAAAGAGCTAACATGACGCTTGAGACCTCCACATGAGATCGAAAACCCACATTCATCCCAAGAATGGCACCAATTAGGAAGTGCTGTGCCACTCCTGCGGTTCTGTGCAGATCTGAACCATGGGATTTACAAGCAAAATTGGGGTGGGTGGCGATGCAAACCACGTGACTTGGAACAATGTTTTCCAAGTGGAAGCTAATAAACAGAGTCACTGCAGTGATCCACTTGCTATCACTTCTGTCCAGCACATCCCAGTCCCTTCTTGAATCGAGAAATGAGAAGGATAGTGCATGCACAAGAGATCCTTTGGGACCCAGGAGGCAGAGAACCCAAGTACATTTCCTTTTTCCAGAAGCTCTCCCTAATTATACACACTAACTAACGTGACTGAGCTTAAGCCTTCCCTCTACCTCAAGGACAGCAACACCTTCCCACCTCCCAGAGTTCTGCAAACCGTAAGCAAGTTGTTATTACATACAAAGAGCAGAAGGTGCTCGCAATCTGTGACTTAAATAGCAAAATGAGCAGAGGAATTGTTGATACTGACACTGGGACTGTTAAAGTCTCTCAGCCACAGGTTTCTTCACTTCCCTTCTATTCTATTGAGCACAAAGTGAAGAGTAAGCAGGATCTACTGAGACATCAGAGACTTGCCGCTCTACAGGGAAAGTCATCCTTGTGCTAAATTTATACCAATCACACTCAAGCAACATTCTCCAAAGTGGGGAAAGGGTCCTCTTTCTGTCTTGACTGACTCATTAAGAATCTGTTAAATACCAGCCAGACAGTTGCTTTACATGGAAGCTCTTCTGACCATGCCCTCATTTACTAGAATCAGGGTATAATTCCTAGATACCAACCAGACAACACAAATACTGCTGCTGCAGTTTGCAGGTACCTGGAATAGATGCAGAAGGTGCTACGGACGCCACAGGCATAGGAGGCATAGAAACTCCACCAAAAGAGCTGTAGCTGACACCGTTGGAAGCTCCCACACTGGAAGGGGGCTGGATGCCAGAACCTGCGCCTCCTGGGGAGTTCTGTTCTGGTAAACTGGGAGAGTTTTCCCAAGCTTTACGAGCAGACTCCATCTATGGAAATGAAGGACAATAACTACAGACAGTTCAAATGGGGAGGACAATTCTGAAGACTAGAGTTGCTCATCTATGACCTATTAGCTCAAATTCAGTCTCATCTAGTCCTAGTGGAAAGCTGGCAGGTCTCAGGTCGAGGGGTTTCACACCAGTTCCCAATGGGCAAGCATCCTCCACAAACACTCAATCTCCCGTGGCATTTGCTGAGCTTTTTGGGTTTGGGGTGCTGGTGATTTTTGGTTTGTTTTATTTTGGGGTAGTTTTTTTGTTGTATGTTTGGTTTTTGGTTTTTTTTTCTTTAAACCACCAGGCACCTAGAATCCTTAACCAGCCATCCTACCCAGCTACCGAAATAGCAGGAAAGCTCTGGTGCACTTGTTCTACAACTGGCAAGGACTTCAGCATCCAGGACTGGTGAAACACATGCCCTTCCACCCATGCTGAATAACATACATGCACAACTTTTACAGAAGCTAATTAAACATTTAGCAGTATTTAACAAAACGCTGTGGGAAAGATCTCTCCATCCTCACTACTCTGGCCATGGAGACATGGCATCCACACCTAGGACAAACACGTGCCAGCTTGCTTACCTTAAGAGTAAGGTCTGCAGTGGGGAAGGACATTGGGTTCAGGCCAATGCACCGCTGAAGGTGATGATCTCTTCGCAGAATGGGAATGGACTGCGTTAACCCTGCCTGGGGGGAGATTCATAAATAGTGAATACTTTATAACTTTTCTGAGAATGTCATGAGCTACCAAGGCTGACAGAGCCTCAGCTGGCAGCTCTAGTAACTACACCTCAAAGGATTCAATCCTCAGTGGTACTGCCGGAGTTAAGTACCACATTCAACCATGATCCATTCTGCAGTTGGAATTATGTGCAATAACACCCTCTATGTTGAATTACACCAGCTTCCACTTCTGACCCAGTAACTTCAATTTGCAGGAGTTCCCCCTCCTGTCCTATATCTGGAACCTACCTAAATTTCAGACAAAACCTGTTTCACAAAGGGCACTTCCGAAAATAAACACCCTTTAAGACAAACCTCCAAAATCAAACAGCCTGCAAGCTTCAAGACATTTCAAAAGCAGCTTTCTGTATTTCTCACATTGCTGTCCACAGCTAAGCTACAAGCTGTGCTTTCAGTGTGCTCATTCTTTCACATAAAACAATGAAACAGCCAGATGGCTGGAATAAGCTAGGAAACCTCCAAAAGGATCTGACTCACAGTTCTCTGCCTTGCTGTGGCAGATGAGACCTCCTGAGGAAGCTGGCAGTTCAGGCCTAAAAATGTCACTATCCGCATCACATCCATTACCAGCATTCCTTTGTGTCTCAAGGGAGGAGAATGGTGATCTCAGATCTGCAATAGCTCTTCTTTACACAGGTCACTGAATGATAGAGTTGCTCCCTATGTCACTTCTGGGCCAGTGATGCTCACTTTATCCAGGTGCCTTGAGGACACCAATTTCCATTACAGATTTTAGTCATGTGTACTGCCTAAGCATCAAGTGTGAAGTCAACTGCAAAGAAACATGCTTGCTCTCTTTGGAAGCATCTGAGGTTTAAGCAAGGACTATCTCTGATGAAATCAATGCCAAAAGAAATAAAAGAAATACTTACATTACTGGCCAAGGCATCCTGCAGTTTGGTGACAGGGTTAGCTGCAGTGCCAGAGGCAGAACCAGGCGGCAAGCTGAAGTCAGAGTCCTGAAAAATCAAAACACAAAAAACTCAAATCCAGGTCCAAGGGCCACCCATCTGCTTCTCATGGTTAGTGACTTCAGCCTGAATCATGACACTAGAAACTAAAGATTGTCCTCTTGTAAGCTTTACTAGAAGAAAACGAAAAGACATTTCTCAGCACTCAGCAGCAGGCAACCCCCAGAGGCATACAAAGGCTTAGAAGGCCACAATTTTGTCCCTCACCTCTGTTATCTCCCCAGCTGGTCCTTGGGACGATATTTCCAAGAGGATATACATGTTTACCAAGATAACTTGAGTACCTGGTTTGTGTCAGTAATGAAGTCTAAAGTAAATCTACAGCTAGAAGCTTCCTCTAAATAATCTTTCTGCCTCAAATCACCTCTCATATCTCAACAAGCTCAAATCACCAAGAACATAAAATTAAATTAAATCCTCACTTTAGGATTTACTCCAAATTCAATGGGCGGCACAGGAAGTACAGAATCCACGTGAATTTCCACCCCATTAACAGGGGGAATATTCCCTTCCAGCCGTTCCGTTCCCTCCGAACCCTTTCTGTTTTTCAGGGAGCGTTCGTTGCCGATTGGTCCAGGCTTGTGTTCCTTGTTCTGTCCTGAGCCTTGATCTGAATCCTTAACAGGAAAGCAGAGAGGCTGAGACACAAAGACCGAACAACCCAATTTCAAGCCTTAAAAATGCTATCATGAACAACACAACCACTTCACAAGGTCTTTCACTATGTACTCTGGCTTGGCTGCAAATCCAGATTACCTTTTTATCAGATTGCTTCTGCACTTGCTCCTTCTGGCAGTCAGGCTTTGGGTCCACCAGGCCAGCCCCATTCATCTCCTCTGGTTTGAGGGTGCCATATGGAGAACTGCGCTGAGAGGAGGTAGCGGAAGATTCCCGAGACTCCGCACTCAAGTCAATGCCACTATCCCCCTGGCTGCCTTTAAAACCCTGCTATGCAAAGCACGAAATGTGTTAAAGCCCCGGACTGAGCCAACTCCACATAGGAGAAAAAAAAATATCCCAGGAAACAGCAACACCATGCCCCCTTTTCAAATCACATTCTTGGTTAACTGCAAAGGAGTTGGGTCTCGCCTGCAGCATCCCTTGGCTGCTGCTTCAGCTCTGTGCAACCCTGAGACAGGTTAACCAATGCACCAACCACACCATGGCTTTAGAATAAGGAAAAAAAGTGTCCCACAGAGCAACTAGGGTGAGACTGCCGAACTCATTTCACTTGTGTCCCAAACCAGATTTGAACTCAGGTTTCTAGAGATGAAGCATTCAGGAACCTCCTCCACCTTCCCTACATTAAGGCTACAGCTACACACTGCGCACAGGCGTGAGGCGCACAAACATGTCCCCTGGGATTCCACCATCCTCGACCACACTCTGCATCCAGTTAGAATCAAAACCCTGGAACAGGTCTACCAGTTACTCCAGATTTATACCCATACGTAACAATAAGCAGCACTCGGCCCTCTAGGTCAAGATTTGAGCAGCATCAAGCTCAAATTAGAACTGCAGAGAGAGAGTTTAATATTGCACAAGCAGAGCTGAGGGTAGCTAAGCACAAATAGAGCAATGAGAAGCATAAACCACCTATGTTAATATTTTATACACATGATACCTGAATGGCACACGAGGTGCCACTTACCTCAGCGGTGTTAGATTCAGTACCGTTAAAGGTATTCACAGGCTTGCTCCAGGAATCACTGCCAGGAGACTGAACAGAAAGAGCTGGAAGAGAACAGAGAGCAGGATTCAGCTGCTTGAAACACAACTGTGAGCACAGCTTGTACACCGTGCATGTTACACTATTAACTTTCAATTTCTAGACACGACATAGGATATTTTCACCACCTCAGAAAGCTAGTGGTGCCATTCAGCTGAGACATGACAGCACAGAGAAGAGAGGGTATGGAGTGTGAGGGCAGAGAATAGGGAAAAGATTTCTTAGGGAATGTGAAGACAACAGGAGAAAGAGCAGAGATAGAAACAAGGGAAGCACTAGCCATTCGCGGCTAGCGGATGACAAAACAGAGGAAAGCAAAGTAAGAAAATGTCTGAAGCAGATCCAGCCCAACAGGCTAGAAAATGCTATGTAGGATCTTGATGTTACAAAACAACTCAAGAAACAGATTAGGAGAATGACATGGTCAACAACATGAGGAGGATGGTTGAACAGCACAGCTTTGAACTGATGCTACTCCAGACATCTGCTAGCTCCTCTCCCACCTCGAGCACCAGACAAGAGAACGTTGTCTGCTCTTAAGCATGGACATCCTGCTCTTCCTGCACACACCAGAGGATTTCCCAGTTGTGTGAAAACACTTCAGACCAAATGCACCCAAAACTTACCTGGGCTGTTGCTCTCCCAGATCTCTGTGCCCAGGCTGTTTCCAGACACTGTTACATCACTTTGCTCCAAGCACAAGCTGTTCTGTTTCTTAGCAAATCGAGGAGGAATGCGAGACTGAAGGACACGGGCCTTAGCTGGTGCCTGAGAGAGAAAAGGCACAGGCTGTAAGACCTGTCACTGCACTGGGCTAACACAGCCTGCTCCTCGCAAGTTCAAACCCTGGGTTTCTAAATGCTGCTATGACCCCCGCCCCACCCTTTTTTTGGGCAGCTCACTGCTGCCCAATATCCCACCAACTACAGCCAGCAACTGGCTTAGTGGGCTAAGTTGCTTTGGATGAGGATCACTTTAGAAAACCCTCCTTAACTCATAGGTTAATAATTCTGATAGAAAACAACAACAGTCAGAAATCTAACTGCCCTTTTCAGACCAACGGCCCCTGCCCATCAAAAGCAAAATACATTTCCTGGGCCTAACAGAAGATTTGGCCTACTTTGGCCAACTGCATGCTTTCCTGCTCATCCAAACATTTTTTGGGGCCTTGCTCCTCTGACTGCAGTCTGAACAGTGTATCCTGTTAACCTTTTTGCCTGCCATGCCTCACCTGAGCAGCCTGTTCCTTCTTCCTTCTCTCTTCTTCCAGCAAACGACGCTGCTTTTTAGTAAGAACCTCAATGAAGCCTTCACCTGCCATAGAACCAACTTCATTCTCTTCTGCTGTGTTTGACACCCGATTATCGATAATGGTACCTGAACAAAGCATACACAGGGAAGAAGTCATGCATGTGTGTACACACATAAAGCTTCATAATTGCACTAATTTAAGAGTGTTCCAAACAGGATCCATGCTACAGGCAAACAAGTTCAGCTAAGCTTTGAAAACTAAGCCATGGCATCCATTTACCTCTACCAGTCACTTTATCCTGCAGGGCTTTGCTCACCTCTGCCTCAAAATGAGCATGCTCCAGCCAGGAGAGCTGAGAAATGTGAGCCACGTGGTAACTTGAGTAACTTTAGGTGTAGTATCAGTTGAAACAAACCTCACACCTTCGAAATATTAGCAAGGACCAAAGCATGCGCAGGTACTTTTGAAAACACACCCATCATTTCTACATGTTAAACTTCAATTCTACGAACAGCGAAAAGCAGAGTCACGGCCTAATGTCAATGGTTTCAGAGATACTAATTTCTTGCCCCCCTGCCACGAGCTCAGGCTCAAATTCCCCACTCTGGATACTTTTTCAACTTCCTTTGCACCATGTAAGGTATTTTGGGCTTGAAATTTAAATCTTAGATAGAAATATGGAACTATTCTCCCTGAAACCAAACTTTCTTGGATTGAAATCAGTCTGGCTTTAAGTCAGCCACAATGTCTTATCCCTTTAAAGAAACAAATGAATTAAGACGCTCACTTCCATAAGTCAGTTCAAACTGTGACAAGGCCTCTCCCTTCTCGTTTGCTCTTTGCGCAGTGGATTTAGGCTCCTTCTCTGGCTTTTTGCCTGGCCCCTCAGCATTCTCCGAGTTCGCATGGGAGGCCCTATCCAAGCTGTAAATGGAGTGGCTGCTCCCACCACTGGTGTTGCCAGGGCCCCCTCCTTCTTCTGGAGACCTACAAGAAAAGGGAAAGTAATTAGATTTATCACTAAAAGATGGGTATATATGCTACATGTTCTTTACCAGTTACTTCCGGGAGGAACTCCTCCCACCAAGCTAGAAACACACAGCACTGCTCGCCATTCATCACCAGTCTCCACTAAGGCCTATATTTGCTCAGAGAAAGCTAGGACTGGCAATATCACACACTGTGCTCATGCCACAACTGCACTACAGGGAATCGAGGTTGGTGATGCTCAACCTGCACACCTCACAGCAACTCATCCCAGGATTTCCTTCTTTATCTTTCATGCCTCTAGTGAGAAGCAGCACAGAGAGTGGAGAGCTGTCTCGGCCCAAGACTAAGGTAAAGAAGAGCAGCATATGTCACGTTCACAGTGTCTCAGCAACTTCCATAAACCTGGATTCCCAGCACGGAAGCAAAGGCATCAACAATCATGAAACCCTTGGACGTCATAAGGTTGGATTAACGCTGCTGGAAGTCACCTGCACCAGGCAAAGAAACACAGCCAACAGCTCCTCACCCTCAGTCCAGCCCTTCTCCAATCATCCAGTATCTCTGCATATCAGATGACAGGTATCTGTACATCAGAACACAACTTTACCTTTTGCTTTTTATCAGAGTCCCGTTCTGCTGGCTCTCGTATCTGGAAGCTGCTCCCACGCCAGTCCTAACAGACTGCTCCACAAACCCTGCTGGCTCGGCCTTGCGGTTCTGCCTGTCTACAAGCGGCCTTTGGCTTGAGAAGCTCCTCTTCGCTAGCTCCCTCTTCTCTCCCAAGGTCCCACTCCCAAGGCCACCCTCCAGCTGGCCTTCACTCTCGGAAACTCCACCTCGCCTCTCCCGACGCTCGCTGAAGTCGCTGCTTTCAGATGCTGTCTCCCACTCCTCGTTGGCATGGTCTGATGAGTTCTGGTAGGACAGCTCAGGAGACCGCCTGCCTGAGATGCTGCTCTTCTCTGCGGTGGTCAGCTTGGGTCTTCCAGGCCACTGGCTTGGCAGCAGGTTGGGGCCTCCCTCCTCAGGGTTCCACTGGCCGACCGATTCCCTCTCTTGCCTGAGGCGCCTGAATCGCGGAGGCTTGTCTTGGCGTGGGGGACGCCGCCTCCTGAAAGGCCTGTTCTCTATGTTCTCCTGATCCGCTGAGTAATCCTCCTGGAAAAAGTGCCTTTTGTCATCCAGATGACTCTCGTCAAAAACCCGGCTGGAAAAGGAATCCACGTGTTTGTAAGAATCCTGAATGTAGTCCCTGTCAGACTGCTGCCTGCTCCCAAAATTGTCCGACGGAGAGGTGTGGCTGTACTCCTGCCACCCCACTCCCCCATTCCGGCCTTGCCACTGGGCTGGCTCCTTACCCATGAAACCCCTCCGCCCATAGCCAGAATTGCTCAGTCTTGGTGGCAGTGATCTCCCAAAAGCTCTTGGAGCCCTCATCTTAGGATCTAGACTAGTGTGATCATCTGAATAGATTTTGTTGGACCTCCAAGATTCTTTGAAGTCTCCCTTCTTCAAGTCACTGTCCTCCCTGTCCAGTACAGAGCCTTCGTTGCTGTTTTCTGAGCCCCTCTGCCGGCGACGCTTGGGGAGCTCCTCGTATTCTGACCCTTCACTGTGTGTCTCACTCGCAATCCGTCGCCTTGGCTTGCCTCTGGGAAAGTCCTCTGGCTGGTTGAACTCCCGAAGCCCTCGCCCTCGTGCACTGCGCTGGTTGTTATAGACTCCCCGGCTGCCCACAACAGTGCCTCGGCCTCTGAATGTGAACTCTCTGAAGCCTCGCCCTCGGCCACGCCCTTGACCTCTCCCACCAAAGGCTTGTTCCTCATCAATGAAGATCCAGTTGTTTCTTTTTGTGGGAGGCAGATCACTGGACTCTCTGGATAGCTTGCTCTCCCAGGTTCTTTCTGGCTTCTCTTCCTCCTCCTCTTCCTCCTCTTCCTCTTGAGATTTCTCAGCCTCTCGGGCAAGGTTGGCTTGGGAAGAACCTCTGTCATCCAGCACATAGCGTGTAGAGTTCAGTAAGGCTGCAGAATCATCTGACTCATTTTCTACCTTCTGAACAGCCGCCTTCTCCTTCAGTGGGCGTGAGGTGTCTTCTCCCTCCAATTTAACCTTCTCCATCTCCTTCTCCTTTTCCTCCACCTTGAGGGCTTTCAGGACTGGTTTTTTAATCGGGCCTGATCGCCGTGTCCTCCCCATTTGTTCCTGGTGCTGCTGACCACTGGTGTTCCGGTTCTCAGAAGCCCACTCTGTTGTCTCTTCAGTGGACTGTTTGGTACTAGCTCCTTCTTTCTTCCATGGGTCGGCACTGAATGACTGCTCATCTCTGGGCACTTCTTCAGCAACCTCTGCTGCAGTCTCTGCAGGTTTCTGAGGGTGGCTGATATCCCAGCCATTATATTCAGGCTTCTTCTCTGCTTGGATAAAATCTGGCTCTAGGGGTGAACACCTCAAGTTTGCATGGCGGTTGCTAGCAGGACAGGTTTCCTGCACAGTCTCCTGATGCTGGAACAAGAGATCTTGGCCTATCCTCTGAGAAGACAGGCAGCTGTCGAAGTCTGCTTGGGCCTTCTTGTCAAAAGCATTCAAGTACTCCTCCTCTCTCTCCTCAAAGAGATCTCGCTGGGTGCTCAGACTCTCTGGCCTTCCAGGAGAAGCAGAGTAACCATCATTCCTGAAGAGGAAACAAGTAACAAGTCAGTTAATGCAGAACACAGCATGTCTCCAAGGGCCCAGGCTGGGCACAAGAGGTGGAAACAAATAATCAAATTGGGGTTTGCTCTAATCATGAGGCAATAAGCCTATAAATACCTGAATGCTGGGCAGATCTGCTGGGGCCCCAGGCTGTACTGCCTGGGTTGTCAAATCAGTGGATGATAAAGAAACCAGTTCCTATGATGGGCAGCAAACTTAAGAAATAAAGGGATATTCAGCCTCCAACACATGTGGAGATCTGAAAACAAGGAATTTGTTTCAGAAAGTCCCAAAGAATTAGGAGACAAAATAGAAAGTATCAGAATTTTTGAGTCGTTCTTTTCTGTACCTACCCATGTAGGTGACAAGTGTCTCTTTCATACTGAACCGGCTCCAAGCTGATCAGCCTCGACTACCACCAGACAGAAAAACTCTGAATGGCTCAGTCTGTAAGCACCTCCGTGACTTAGACACTCAACAGTGTAAGGGTGCTATCAGATCAGTACCTTGGCCTGTTCAGAGATATCTTTTGGGTCAACTCTACACCTGCTTTT